AAAAACTCACCTTCACGAAGGAACAAAGATGATCCCATACTTGGCTCAGAATCCTCCTCTGCCATCCAGCGCATCCATTTCCGAGCAGGACACCATCAGTGTGTTGTCATCTGTGCCCATGCCCTAACAAAGCAAAACAGCCACGGACAGCTGCCTACAGAGCCCTTGGAGCAATCCCCGACAGACACAGAGGCTGCAGGCGTCCGCACTCACTGACGTGCTGGGAGCTGATGTCTCTGGGCCCAGTGCACAGCAGCATTTCCTTCGATGCTTTCAGGCCTCCTGACAGCAAACCTCTGCTCCAAAGCATCCTTTGGCCAAGGAATTTGTGCCACGAAGCACAGCGCTTTCTCACCTGACCGCATCCATAAAGCATAACATCAGGCAAACTGTGTCATCCTCCCAAGTGCTGCCATTTCTACAGACTGCTGGCACTGCACAGGTAACAGCTGCCACTGACAACCAGGAGGGGCTTCTGTGGGGGCCAAGGCCAGAGGCGTGGCAACTGCAAACAGAGGCAAGAGCAGACACAGCTTTAAGTTACCTGAGAAACACAAAGGACTCAACCTAGTAAATCTCCACAGAACTGCTTACGCCATTCTGAGGAACAGGGCACACAAAAAAGCAGAGCTCCTTCCCTGCAGGCAGCCAGCCCTTCAATGAGCCTCCCACTCAGGGAGGGGGGAACCAGGCTGCACCCCTTGGTCATGCAACTCAACAGCTTCCACTGCTCTCCACAGCACAACAGGGTTGGTTGGAGATCAAAGCCTGTGATGTAAAAAAAAAAATAATACAAGTTTTCGTGCTTCTTTCTCATCTGTGTTATCTGACTGCTGTTTGAACCCAGTGCACTTACAGGGTCTTGCAAATGACAGCTGGAAGCAGCTCCATACAGCACGCACAGCACCCTGCAAGCTCCAGGTGAGTGACAGCAGCCAAGGAGGCCTCTGGGCTCTGCAGGGTCCGAGTGTGGAGCATTACACACAGGAACAGCTGAGCATCAAGTTGAAGGCACAGCTCCAGAACTAGCCAGCACAAAGAAGCACAGTGGCACAGCTCATTTCCCACACAGTAAGAGCCGTGACGAAAATGCAGATCTGTTCAGCTTTCCTCTCCTGTCCCTGCCTTCTGCCCCATCAGACGGGAGGAACGGCCATGCTTCCACAGACATGTTCCTCTCACAGCCCGCACCCCTCGGCGTGGAGCATTCCCGGCTGCAGGACAGAAACAACAGCTCTTGCCATGCACCATCTGCCAACTGCCATCTTCCTCTGCATATCGCTCCTAGTCATTAGTTGAGAAAACACGATCCTGTTGGCAAACTTTGCTCGTTATACACTCATTAGAAAACCAAAAGCAGCTCCATCCCAAAAGTTATCCACTTCCACAGTGCTAGGACTCCCATTTAGCACGCACGCTGCGGTTTTCAGCCTAAGCTTTTAGAAACAAAGCCAGAAAATTCCACACCGCTCAATACAAAGCTATGCAATGATGAGAGTCACTCAAGCTCTGCCCAAAAGGGTGAAAAGCAGCATCAAAATATCTGAAGGAAGGGGGGACGATGAAGGAAGGCAGCACTGCAGAGAAGTCAGGAGAACACCTCTGCCTTCCGGGATCAGGCGGCCAGCGGAACCTCTCTTCCCCCAGCAGAGACGCCTGCAGGCTGAGGGGCACACGCTCACTTTGCTCAGTGCTGCCCCGAGAAAGTCAGACGGCTCTATGGAGCTGCTCTCTAACTGCTCAGACAGTGTGGGCAGGGCCCAGGATTGGTGCGTCCATTGCTTCTGTACCCTGCAGCATTCCCTGATGGAGCTGTGGGAGTTCTGACCCAGCTCCGCCAGTGGAATAACGAGGAGGTGGTGGGATAACGAGGAGGTGGAGCAATAACCAGGAGGTGGAGCAATAACCAGGAGGTGGTGCAGTGGCTCACTGGGTGCCGCTGGACAAATCAGGCCATGCGCTCCTTGTGAATGCAAAACTCCAATTGTTTATTGATGGATTGAAACCAGAGTGAAAGTTGGGCTGCTGCCACAAAGCCGCTGCCTGCTGATGCTCCTCCGCTCAGTCCTTCAGCTGCAGCTTCTCCATCATCTCCACAAGGCTGTTTATGGTGGAGAACTGGAAAGAAACAAGGCAAGTGTCAAAGCAGGACACCGCTTCCCCCAGTATTCCACAACCCCC